TATTATATTATATTATTATTATCCTAATTAATGACTTTGTTATTTCTGAATAAACCGGCCGTAGCAGAAACGTAAGAATTGCTCTGGTCCATGCGGGGTGCACAGGGGTGAGAGCTGAGCCGATTGAAGACGATGTTATTGATAATTCTCATACACGGAGCCTGATTTGGGGTGTTTGTTTTTAATGACATAATTGGGGTTTTCCATTTATACTAATTTTTGAGGTTGGCGGTCATCGTCACGTTTCGGTGTGATCCTGTTTTTTCATAATGTATTAAAACCAGCCTGACGGTCCAGTTTATTCTAAATGGAAATTCTATCATTTGCTTTCCTTTAGTCCAACAGGGACACCTCTTGTGTCAGGAAGTGAAGGGAAATCTGGCTGAAGGATGGGACAGGGAAAAAAAGAGGTTTAACCATTTCTTACCCTTTCTAGAAAAGTTTTGGCTTTAGATACACTTTAACAAACGATGATTTGCTTGTGTTGCTTGCCCACTAACATGCAGGAAAAATGCTATCAGTGCTTGGGAGGTTCAGATACAGGAAGTGATAACATGAAAACCTGCATCCTGCCATATAGGGAACCTTCATCTTATTTGTATTATTAGATTCATGAATGGATTTCATTCTTGGAAAATATTTAATAATATAATAACTCTTACCTGGAAGGGTCTGATGGGGTTGATTTGAATGTTGGCGAGCTGCCATTTATTGCCGTTGTCCCCGCTCAATGACCACACTGGCATGTCGCCGGTATTACTGGAACGCAGCATCACGTTCAGACGACCTGATGAGCAGAGAACAAAGAAGCATGTAATTCACATGTGCACCGAGACAAATTTAAAGGTGACACACCAAATTTCAATCCTGTCCTCCATATTCCGCCTCCTGCAGTCTTGCATGCTGCATTTCAGATGGATTGCCTTTTGGATCAGGCGTAGGCAACCTGGGCACTCCAGGTGTGGTGAAACTACAAATACCATCATGCCGCTGCCAGTGGGAGTCCCGCCTGTGGCTGTCAGGGTCTTGCCATGCCTCATGGGACTTGTAGTTCCACAACAGCTGGAGTACCCAGGTTGCCCACCACTGTTTTAGATCATTATTTGGAATCCTTCCAGAAGGTAGTTCAGAGACTGGCATGGCGCGCTACCACAATGCACGTTGCTAGGTGCACTATAACTCCACGGCCGGGTTCACATATTCAAAGCGGGTTACATGTATCCGGGATGAATTCGGGAACATTTGTCCGAATTTTGACTCGGAACGAATCGCACGTGTCTAGTCACAACCAAATGCGCCTAAAACTTCCTGCACACCCTTAGCATCCTGTTGGGTCACCAGAAGTCCTTAAAACCAACCAGGATTGAGGCCACGTCCACATTTTACCCACAACTTTCCCTTTCCTGGGTTTCCTGCGGTGCCGCAGGTACATCAGGTACATGCCAACCCTCACCATTCCTCCGCCCCCCTCCCCCCCCCAGAGAAGGACACGAGGGACACGTAGCACCAAAACCGAGCATCATGCCAAAGCTTTTTGTTAATAAGCTCCCCCCTTGTGTGACTGTACTGGGTGCTAGAAAGGAAATTCGTACAGATAATTCAGACATGACCTTTGGAAAGGAGGGGATTATGGATGACTATTTAGAAAAGGCTAATCTGACAGAGAGAGAGAACCGAGGCTTTAGGAGAGACGCGGCAATTATACATAGAAGGGGGCTGCGGAGGATTAGAGATAATATTTCACAATAAACAGCACAGCCCTAAAACAACACTCATCGCTTAATGTCATTCCCTTCCATGAGTACTTCTCAGAACGAGCTCCGTCCCTGGAGGGCCCGTCATCGGAGAGGCCACTGTCAGCGAAACCAGCCAAATCAGTGACTATCTATCTATCTATCTATCTATCTATCTATCTATCTATCTATCTCTCCATCTATCCATCCATCCATCCATCCATCCATCCATCTATCTCTCTCTCCATCTATCTCTCTATCTATCTCTCTATCTCTCTCTCCATCTATCTCTCTATCTCTCTCTCCATCTATCTCTCTATCTATCTCTCTATCTATCTCTCTCTCCATCTATCTCTCTATCTATCTATCTATCTATCTATCTATCTATCTATCTATCTATCTATCTATCTATCTATCTATCTATCTATCTATCTATCTATCTATCCATCTCTCCATCTCTCTATCTATCTATCTATCTATCTATCTATCTATCTATCCATCTATCTATCTATCTTATACGCAGGGCTGGATTTCCCACGTGGCCACCGAGGCCTGGCCTCGGGGCAGCAGGGAGTAGAGGGACAGCACAGCCATCAGGTGGGTAGTTTTTTTTCTACATTTAGCCCAGCTTCGGGTAAGCAGGGCTAAATGTAGAGCGGGGAAGCCACCACTCGGTTTGTACAAGTGATCTAGGCAATGCCACCAAGATCACTTGTAATAAGCCATGTCCGATCCCCCCCGCCCCCTTCATGGTCTGCCCCAACCTCCAGCTTCCACTCTCTGCTAGCCGCCTCCCTCCACGCCGTGGTTTTCGGGGTCCCCCGCTCTGCAGGGGGACCTGCGAGCACGGCAAGGTAGTTCAGGATGGAGAGCGGGGAGCAGAGTGGAGAACGTCCGTTCTCCGCACTGCTCCATGTAAACAGTGATAGGGGAGAGCTACACTCGCAGCCTTCCCATCTCAGCTGTCACAGGAGTTCCAGCACAGTACTTTGCTCAAACTCCCATATTGGAGGTGACACAAAATTTATAAAAAGTAAAACATTATTAAATAAATAGATTTTTTTTTGTTTAATGGTTAAAAAAAAAATAATTAAATGAAATAAAAAAAATGTAAAAAAAATGATAAAAAATAATAAAATTTTAAAATTATAAAACAATTATAAAAAAGTAAAAAAAATAAGGAGAAAATTAAAAAAATTTAAACCAACCCCGCCGCCCCCGCCATCTGGTTGCCATTCTCCATGGGGGTGGGGGAGGGGGGGAAGCATTGAGGAACCTGGCTTTGGGGCAGCAGAGAAAGTAAATCCAGCCCTGCTTATACAGCCCATGTTTTTGGACACCTGACCATCATATCTTTATGAGCTTGTTGGACATCTAATTCCAAAACCATAGTCATTAAAATGAAGTTGCCCCCTCCTCCTTTGTGGCTACAACAGCCTCCACTCTTCTAGGAAGGCATTCCACAAGATTTAGGAGGGTGGAGGGTTTCTGTGGGAATTTGTGCCCGTTTGTGGGGTCAAGTACTGATGTTGGATGAGAAGACCTGGCTCAGAACAGGCGTTCCAATTCAGTGGGTGATCAGTAAGGTTGAGGTCAGGGCTCTGTGCAGGCCACTCGAGTTCCTCCACACCAAACTGGGCAAGCCATGGAGGTGGTCATTGACTAGGCTGAGATGATGTCATCAGTATGCTGCAGGCAGGAGGAAGTATTTCCTCAGTCTTCTCTCCTCCAGTAATCACACTGTAACATTGTCAGACATTTATGAGCACAGAGAGCTGCACAGGCACCAGGATTTACATGATTGTGTCATCTCTGATCCCGTGTTCTATCGAAAAGCTCCAACTACCTCACTGCCGTGTACTTGCAAGTTGGAGATTTTGACCAGACGGCATTAGACTGCAAAACACAAAGAGTGACGGAGCTTCTGTACAGCTGCATTTTAACAATATTCAGCAGGTGGGCAAACTCGACGAGTATTCTGAAACTGCTATGCGCGCATGCGCACCGCAACCGTACAGGGCTCCAGTCTTTCTGAGCACCGGAAGTGAGGTAGTTGGAAATTTCGATGAGTTGGAGCTTTTGATAGAACACCGGCATCTCAGTCCAGGAAGCAGATGGTGACCCTGGATGGTGCCTGAACAAAGATGGCGCCGTCAAAAGCAGATGAAGGCTTTGTCCGGGGGAGTACAGTGATCTCCGAGAAAGGAAATAAATACTTGGAAGGGTTACAATGACACAATACTGAGCTTGCTGCACTTAAAGGAGAACTATGGGGTTAAGGCTTTTCCCCATAGTTCTCCTTAGGGTAACGGGAGGATACAAACTAGCGTCCTCCCCTCACCCTAGGCTCAGTATACAGCGAGCTGTAGCTCCTGGTATACTGAGATGCCGCAGCTGAAGCGGATCCCGACAATTATGTCTGGATCCGCCCAGCTGCGTGACTGACAGCTCTCATCGCTGGCGGATCGGAGCGGGGAGGGGGGAATCCAGCCCCGCCCCTGTCACGGCAGAGAGCCGTGACAGGATCGAGAGGTGAGCGAGCTACGGTATGTGTTCGCTCACGATCTACTGAGCCGACCTGTGACAGTCTCATTGTCACAGGTCGGCTAGAACTATGAGGTGAGTGAAAAGCACCCCCTCATAGTTCTCCTTTAACATGAAAGAATATGAATACCATGCTGGGTCTACTTTAAAATGTGTTATGGCTCAGGGTTTACTTTGTGTCTCCGCGATAGTTTAATGTCTGTGACTGTCTGTACATATTGGGATTTCGGTGTTTTGAGTCCTTACAAGCTCGTCTTTCTTAGATAGTAGAATCTCCGGAGACGTTGTGCACATCTTTCTCCAGCGGCTGAGCGGAAGCCGCACGTTTCTCATTACGTTGCGTTCCCCAGAACAGATGAGGGCGTTCAGTTCTGCTTTTACTGCTATTTAATTTACTATTTCTCGAGGATGAAAAGATAACAGCGAGCGCGGAATAACCGCCGGGATTTATACGCAACGCCGGCGCCTTGCTCTCAGGGTTGGAGACACCCATCACCCAAAATGAAAAATGATAACAGAGCTCACACAAAGGAAAAGCCGAGCAAAAAGCAAAATCCTTTAAAGGAGAACTATGAGGTGAATGCTTTTCACTCACCTCATAGTTCTAGCCGACCTGTGACAATGAGACTGTCACAGGTCGGCTCAGTAGATTGGGAAGTGAGCAAACACATACCGGCGTTCGCTCACCTCTCGATCCTGTCACGGCTCTCTGCCGTGACAAGGGAGGGGCTGGATTCCCCCCTCCCCGCCAGCGCTGACTGGCGGGACGGACGGGGGAGGGGGCGGTTACAGCTGGCTCTGCCTCTAGATAGGCAGAGCCAGCTGTCAGTCACGCAGCTGGGCGGATCCCAGCATAATTGTCGGGATCCGCTTCAGCTGCGGCGTCTCAGTATACCGCGAGCTACAGCTCGCGGTATATTGAGCATAGGTTGACGGGAGTACGCTAGTTTGTGTCCTCCAGTTACCCTAAGGAGAACTATGGGGAAAAGCCTTAACCCCATAGTTCTCCTTTAACTGCTTATGGTATTCCGGAGACATTACGCTGAACCGGAGATGGAACCTGGGAACACACAAACATCCAGCGGTAGCAGACATTACAAGGGGTGGGCTCTAAGTGGGTAGGAAGATGTGTGCCAATCGTTTGCATATTTGTAGTGCCTCTTTAATATGCACACTGGAACAGTCCTTTGAGAACTTACAGGAGAACTATGAGGTGAGGGATTTTCGTTCATCCGCATAGTTGGAGCCGACGTGTGACAATGAGACTGTCACAGGTCGGCTCAATAGATCAGGAAGTGAGCGAACACATACCATCGCTCGCTCACTTCTGGATCATATCCCTGCACTGTCAGTCACCTGCAGGGATTCCCCCCTCTCCGTTCCTCCAGCGCTGACTGGAGGAACGGACGGGAGAGGGGGCGGGTACAGCTGGCTCTGCCTCTAGATAGGCAGAGCCAGCTGTCACTCACGCAGCTGGGTGGATCTTGACAGTAATGTCGGGACCCGTCCT